TGTGGTTTGGGGGTTTTCCGGGGGGCCCCCCGTGCTGTGTGTTAGGTGTGTTACGTGGTGGCTGCCGTGCTGTGTGTTAGGTGTGTTACGTGAATCGCCAGCCCTGTGCACAGTGCTCCCTGGGACCTGTTCTCATTCGAGTCTCACCACCGCGTGCACAGGAGGCCCATTTCAGAGTATCGGCAGTGACCGTCACAGAGGTCCCTGGACACTGAAGGGGCAGAGCTCGGTCTCCGGTCAGGCCTGGTTGTGAGGCCCCCTTTGCCCACCAGGCGCAGGGGTACTGAGAGGGAGGGCACCAGCTTGCTGAGCCCGGGCCCTTGCTGGTTGGAGACCACACTCCCAGGCTCCTCTCCAAGCCAGGGCCTTACTTAGCACCTTCGGGAGTCACCTCGCTTCCTCTGTACCCCTGCGATGGGTGGGGCCCTCCCTTTCTGAGCCATTGTCTGGAGAACTAGAGAGGAACCACCTTAGCCAAGTCAGTCGGCTCCTCAGTTTTCAACAGCGAGAGGTGGGGATTTACAAACCGGGCACTGTAGGCCAGTGGTGATGTGCTGGCTGGGAGAAGCTGAGTCCCACACGCTGACTGAAGTTCGAGTCCCTGTTCTGGTCAGCTAGAAACAAGCTGGGGTGTGCCCCAAATCCAGGGGGCTGAGGAGGGGATTGCAGCGTGACCGGACCCACTGGCAGGCATCTCTGTCTCCACACGTGTGTGCGTGAATAAAGAACAAAGTTATTAAACATTTTAAAGGAAATCCATTTTGAGGAGCATCGGATGGCGTAATGGTTATGTTGCTGCTCTCGGTCTCAGTCCTGGACCCAGCAGCAAACTCATGCCAGGCGCACACCTACATGCCCAAGATCTTGAGAGGAGGACGGAGGGAAGGGGTTGCCAGGGTCACCCTAGGGAAGGATTTCTCACTTTCTGCCTCTCTGGTGAGCACGCCAGTCCTATAGCGAAAATCTCTCTTTAAAATCATGTTGGAGGGCCAGCAGGCGGTGTGATGGGTTGCCAGGGTCACCCTAGGGAAGGATTTCTCACTTTCTGCCTCTCTGGTGAGCACGCCAGTCCTATAGCGAAAATCTCTCTTTAAAAAACATGTTGGAGGGCCAGCAGGTGGTGTGATGGTTAAGGGCACTGAACTCCCACTGGCCCACCACGGTTCAAACCCTAGACCTGCTGGCTTGTTTTCTCACTTTTCGTCTCTCTTGCTTTTACCCCTCTTTGGTCAAATTTAAAAAAAAATGTTGGGGCCGGCAGGTGTCGCAGTGGTTAAAGGTGCTGGACTCCCACATGGCCGGCCACGGTGCAAGTCCCGGACCTGGTGGTTTGCTGTCTCACTTGCTCTCTCTCTCTCTCTGTCCCTCTCTGGTCAAATTGAAATAAATAAATAAACAAAGTTAAATAATTATTTTATTTAAAGTAAATTTTTAAAAAAGATTTGCCATAGGGCATGTGAGCTTCCCAGAGAGAGGGGGACGTGAGGAATCACTGCCTGGCGGGGCGGCCGTGCTGCAGCCCCTTCTCTTCCAGTCTCCTCTCTGGGTTCTGGGCACACGTACACATGTGCCTGGCAGGATTTTCAAGCCGCCAGGTCTGGGGTTCAAACTGCACAGTCAGCCGTGTGGGATCCAGCACCTTAACCTTCATGTCATCTGCTGGCCTCAGACGTAAAAATAGAACCGTTGTTTAAATGCTGAAGCGAGACAGAGACGACACTCCCAGCAGGGTCTAGACACCCCTGTGTGTGTTGTGTGCCCCCGCCCCCGCAGCTCTGGGTCACAGCAGGTGTCTGCCAGGGCACTCTCAGGGAGGGCTCCTGCTGTGGTCCGATCTGGGAACCGCCCCAGGGGAGGGGTGTCAGGGTGTCAGGCTACACACAGCCTGTCCACGGTTACAAAAGGGGCCGGAATCTGTTCTGGAGCTGAGCGCCGCGTGGAGGGCCCTGGCACCAGTGTGGAAAGCAGGTGCAGGGCTGGGAATGCCCCAGTGACTTCAGCAGCTGCCTCTGCCGGCCGAGCCGTGCCAGCTGGAGCCCTGGAGGGGGCTTAGACTCCTCGTCATTTTATAGAGGACGCTGAGGCCTGGCTGTGTGACTCAGGACCCTGTCTGGAACCGACTTCGGCCTGCTGCTCCCTTGCCTCTGCTCCGGCCCAGAGCCCAGTGGGACTCAGAGGCCCCCTTTCCCCTTGCAGGTTTGGGGCTCAAAAGCCAAAGCCAGAGGTCCCGGCTGAAGCAGTCTGTGCCGGCGCTGCCAGGCCGGGCAACTGGCGACGTGATGGTGTCCTGGAGCCCCAAGGAGGCCAAGGCCTGGGAGAGCGAGAACCAGCCAGGGGTGGCTCTGGGCCGGGTGGTGGGGACGCGGCGGGGTCGGCCACCCATGCGCAGGCGCCAGTTCCGGGACCTGGTGACAGAGAAGCCGCACAGCTGTGGACAGTGTGGGAAGCGCTTCCGCTGGGGCTCGGACCTGGCGCGGCACCAGCGCACGCACACGGGCGAGAAGCCGCACAAGTGCCCCGAGTGTGACAAGAGCTTCCGCAGTTCCTCGGACCTGGTGCGACATCAGGGCGTGCACACGGGCGAGAAGCCCTTCTCCTGCTCTGAGTGCGGCAAGAGCTTCAGCCGCAGCGCCTACCTGGCCGACCACCAGCGCATCCACACGGGCGAGAAGCCCTTCTCCTGCTCTGAGTGCGGCAAGAGCTTCAGCCGCAGCGCCTACCTGGCCGACCACCAGCGCATCCACACGGGCGAGAAGCCCTTCTCCTGCTCTGAGTGCGGCAAGAGCTTCAGCCGCAGCGCCTACCTGGCCGACCACCAGCGCATCCACACGGGCGAGAAGCCCTTCTCCTGCTCTGAGTGCGGCAAGAGCTTCAGCCGCAGCGCCTACCTGGCCGACCACCAGCGCATCCACACGGGCGAGAAGCCCTTCTCCTGCTCTGAGTGCGGCAAGAGCTTCAGCCGCAGCGCCTACCTGGCCGACCACCAGCGCATCCACACGGGCGAGAAGCCCTTCTCCTGCTCTGAGTGCGGCAAGAGCTTCAGCCGCAGCGCCTACCTGGCCGACCACCAGCGCATCCACACGGGCGAGAAGCCCTTCTCCTGCTCTGAGTGCGGCAAGAGCTTCAGCCGCAGCGCCTACCTGGCCGACCACCAGCGCATCCACACGGGCGAGAAGCCCTTCTCCTGCTCTGAGTGCGGCAAGAGCTTCAGCCGCAGCGCCTACCTGGCCGACCACCAGCGCATCCACACGGGCGAGAAGCCCTTCTCCTGCTCTGAGTGCGGCAAGAGCTTCAGCCGCAGCGCCTACCTGGCCGACCACCAGCGCATCCACACGGGCGAGAAGCCCTTTGGCTGCAGCGACTGTGGCAAGAGCTTCTCGCTGCGCTCCTACCTGCTGGACCACCGGCGTGTGCACACCGGTGAGCGGCCCTTCGGCTGCGGGGAGTGTGACAAGAGCTTCAAGCAGCGGGCACACCTCATCGCGCACCAGAGCCTGCACGCCAAGATGGCCCAGCCCGTAGGATGAGTGCCAAGCTGGCGTGGGCTCCACGCCGCCCTGGGAGTCCCTGCAGCTGCACCTCCTTCCAGCGCCTGCAGTGCCCTCCTCTGGGTGGACCTCTGGACCTCACCTAGAGCCCTCTGCCGTCTGCTCGGAGGGTGCCCCTTCCCGCCCCCGGGCCTCTTTCTCCTCCGGCTTCCTTTAGTCCTCCCTCAGGTCCTTGCAGCAGCAGGGCCGTGGGGGGACTCGGGCAGGGCCGGGAGCCCCTCCCAGAGCTTCCTGGGCCTCCCTGGGCCCACTGTGGTTCCTGCCTTTCCAGGTGGAATTGGGTCCCATCCTCTGCCAGCAGGTGCTTGCCAGTGGGGGTGCAGGGCTGTGGACCCTCCAGTAGGCCCACGCCTGGGGAAATCTGGGAGGCCTTGGGGCCTCTGGCCTTAGTGCCCTGCGGCTCTGGACCTGAGCACCTTGCCCTGTCCTCTTCCTGTCCCCGGAAGCTGCCCACCTTGCTGGGAAGGCTTGCCCAGGTGTGAGCCTCTGAGGGCCACCCACCTGCTGGTCTGGGGAGAGCAGTGGCTGAGCCGTGGGAGGCCACCCTGGAGACCAAGGGCAGGGCGGAGGCTGGCCGCTCCCCTCCAGGTCCTGGTGTACTTGGCGCTGGCCTCTAGCAGCGCCCCGCTGCACCACACTCTGTGTTGTCCTGTGTGTGCAGGTTTGTGTTAACAGGGCAGACCTGGGCCCTCAGAAGGAGCTCAGCCCGCAGGGCGCAGGCGTAAATAAACCCGGAGACTTCCTACCTGTGTTCTGTTCTTGAGGTGGCTGCTGCAGGGTTGGGGGCTGATGCTCCCATGCCTGTGTCCCTGCTGGGCCGTCCCGGTGGTACGCGGTGCTGTGTGGTCACCAGGTGGGGCCACAGCCTTGGCTTCCAGGCTGGCCGGCCCCCTCCCCCACTCCCTGCCTGAGCAGGACTTGGTCTCCAGCAGGCCACTTCTCCCCAACTGGTGACAGGAGGCTTGGAGACAGGCGGCCTCCTGCTTCTCTAAGCTGGCCTGCGCTCGCTTTCCTTAGGGAGAGGGTGCTGACGGTCCCGGCCCTGGCCTCCTTCCCTGTGAGACCCTCTGCCTGGCTAGGGGCCTGTCCGTCAGGACACGAGCCCTCCTTTCACCACCTGAGCCCCTCCCTGAGGGCGCTGGGGCAGGCAGCAAGACCTTCCTGTCCCGTGGTAGCCCCGTGCCCAACTCTGCCGCAGCCTTCCCTCGGCCAGCTCCCAGTGGACACAGCACCACTCTGCATGGACGGAGCAGGTTCCAGTGGGCGCTTCCTGCCCCTGGGGCCTTGGTGCCATGCGTGGGCTAACGGGCAAGTGGGCATGACGAGAGAAGCACAAGGACTTTCGGAGCCGGTAGCAGGCTCCAGAGGCACACGCAGATGTAACACGATCAGATAGTGAGGGCAGGAGCTAAGAATAGGATTGGGCACAGGTTTCTGGCTCAGGTGGCACGTTGGTGCCAGCCAGGAAGTCACTCCTGGGGCCAGAGAAGGGCACTGGTGCTGGGGGTGCACCTGAGATTGCGGGGGGCAGAGTCCAGCTCAGCCTATAAGCAGGGCAGGTGGCTCCCGGAGAGGGCAAGGGTCAGGCTCTAGGGCCTGGAGGTGAGCACAGTGCTGGCACATGGCCTTCCTGGTGGCTGGGACCCTGCGGCTAGCTGCGCAGGTGGCAGACGCCCAGGACAGCCTGGGGAGAAAGGTAGTGGGAGACTCGGCCTGGCCCGCCCTGGTGCAGCCTGCTCCGACTGCTGCTGAGCCCGGCCCAGCTCCACCTTGCCTCCCCAGGGGAAGTATAGCCTGCAGGGTCCGAGGGTGGCCCTGGCACTCTGCAGCCCAGGGGTGTCTGCTGCAACCGTCGCTGCCCTGGAGGGCACGTTCCGGGCCCTGGGCTTTGAGAGCTACCAGAGGAGGGAGGTCTCTGTCCAGGTGAGCCTTCACCCACCCCACCCCCCCACACAACTGGCTCTTGCTCCAGGGCTTTCTGGAGGAGGTAGCTTGCTTCCGGGAGCAGCTAGATGCCTCTGGGGGCCCCGTGGGCTGCGCCCTGGTGGTGCTAGTGGCCCCTGGCAGGCAGTTGAGGCAGCAGCCTGTGGTCCAGGAGCTGAGCCGCTGTGAGGCCCTGCGGGGCTGCCCCAAGGTGTTCCTACTGCTTTCCAGTGGCCCCGGGGGTGAGTAGTCTGGGCAGGGACCTCCATGCCAGCATGGTAGAAGAGGGTGGGCAGCAGACGGGAGCCCCTTCTAGCCAACGTGCTGTCCCCCCAGCCGCCCCTGAGCCTGGAGTCTTCCTCGCCGGCCTGGGGGAGCTCTGTGGCCTCTCTCACCACTCCCTGCTGCAGCTGCTGACGGAGGTGGGTGCCAGAGTGGGCCTGGGGCTCAGCCCGATGTCCGCGCTCCCGCCTCCCCTGAGCCAGTCATGGCTGGCGTGTCTGTGTGCACTCACCCCACGCCTCGCTCAGACCTCTGCTGCCTGCACATGGGTGCTGGCCTCTGCGTCTTGCTGGATCCCTGGACACTCCAGGCTGCCTCTCAGCCCATGCTGTGATGAGCTGCTCCCCCGCTTGGCCAGCCTCCCTGTTGCACTGTAGCCCCACTCGGGGCCCTTTGGGCTGTCAGCCAACCTCCCTCCAGTGCCCTGCATCTACACCCGTGCCCCTGGCCTCCCCTCCACATCTGTGCAGGGAGGGACTGACCTGGAGGCTTGTCTGGGAATGATCCCAGTCAGGTACTCCCAAGGCAGTGTGGGGCCTCCCGCTGCTGTCCAGGCCTGGGTCGCCCCGAGGCAGCCCCACCCCATGGGCCTGTCCAGCCTGCACCATTGGGCCCAGCCTGCTCTCAAAACCATCCCCACCTTGGTGCACACCGGTCCCTGGGGCGTGCTGGAAAATGGTGTGGTCATTTGGTCATTGTCCACCCAACTAGGGGCAGGTCTTGCTTAGGTCCGTCTTGCCCTCCCTCCTCTCTCCATCCTAGTAGGTAACCTCAGAGAGCCTGTCGTAGCCATGAGCCTGGCCAGGTCCCTGGGAGCCAGGGTCCTGGTGCCTGCTTGGGTTGCACCCTTCAGCTCCCATCTTGAAGGGTTCTGGCCCCCCTCCCAGCTCTTCTGCAGGGTGGCTGAAGAGTCAGGGGGCACCTCCTGCCCAGTCCTCTGGAGCTCCTTGCGGGGAGCACTGTGCCTGGGAGGCATTGAGCCCTGGAGGCCGGAGGTGAGAGGGACAGGGTGGGGACCCAGTCATGTGGCTGCAGTTGTGAGTGCAGTTGTCTTGGGGAGGCCTAGGACTGTCCTGAACCACTGTACTGTACTTGCCCTTCTCTGCAGCCGGTCCCCGACCCCGGAGCCCAGTATGACCTGTCCGGAGCCAAGGCCGCCCTCCTCCTGGCTGTGATTCGAGGACGGCCCGGGGCCCAGTGTGATGTGGAGGTGCTGGGGGGTCTCTGCCAGGCCCTGGGCTTCGAGACCACCCTGAGGACTGACCCTACGGCCCAGGTGAGGGGAGCCAGGATTGGTGGTGCTCTGAAGGACAGGCACCCCATTCTCCAGGGCCCCGGGGATGCTCCTAGACTCAGCCATCACAGGCAGCAAGTGTGTCCTCAAGTCTAGCCTTGGCCCTCCCTGCTGTGTGTATTGGGTTAGGAAAAGGCCTCTGGGGCCAGGCAGTGACAGAGCAGGACGGCACGGGAACCTCACGGGAAGGTTCTGCGCCGGGGACGCCCTGGTGTGCCTCAGCACGCCCATCTCTGTCTCTCATGGAAGAAATGACTAAACCTGAAAGGAGGAGGGGAGGGAAGAAAAGAGAAAGAAGGAAAGCGAGAGAAAGAAGAAAGGGGCTTTGGGCCTGGGCCTGGGCCTGGGCCTGGGCCCGCGCCTGGCAGGTGTGGCGTCTGGTGGGCTGGGGACCCAGCCCCGTGGCGGCAGCCAAGCACCCGCGGAGGGGTAGGC